AAATCAATGCAACAGCAGTGCAATAACAGATGGCATCTTCTGTGTATATCTAAATGCACTGAACATTGGTCATAATTTGTATGTGAGTAACAAACAGAACTAACTAATGTGTCCGATTTCAAGGGAAAATACCACCAACAGCATATTACAGGTTTTATTACAGTAGTTGATATGATATGATTCTAAGTAATAATTTATGCTGGTAAATTCTAGTTAGTAATACAATATTAGTGTGTGCTGCATGCTAAATAAAAAGTATGCAATTTCACTCAGCCACAGTCTCCAAGTTGTACACTTATGTCAAAATGTATCCTGTACGCCAAAGTGAACACACGTTTATCAAAAAGACCAGAAGTTATCAAAAATGTCAGTCAGTGACCTGGATAATGTATAGTGTAAACAGTAAAGGCATAAGATAACCGTAGGAATATGAGATAGAGACTAAATATTTATAAGATCATCATATTATTGAAAGCAAAGTTGTATAGGTGTATAGCATTAAGTCGACCGAAAAAGGAAAAATCGTGAATTGCATACAAGTATATTTGTCACAATATTTGACTTATTTTAAGAGTAATTCTACCCAAGACCTATTTGAAAGCATTATTTTTAGCTCGACTGATGAGCTCTTCACTGATCTCTCACCTATTTTTATATTACTGATAGTTCTCAAACAATTTGATGTTGAATGAAATCAATTATTTTGTATTCTATCATGTTCCACGCATGAAATGAGTTGTTTTATTTTTTATGAATTACGGTGCATTGTGAACAGGATGTATATAAAGATGAACCAGATTACCAAAAGGTACGGACAACAGGCACAAGACTTTGTGTTCTGTTGAGTGAGAAAGAATGAGTCGAAATGTCTGATTCACATTGTGAGTGAATTTATCAGTTCACTGGAAATGAGAAATAACTATAATAGATTGTCTAACTACGAAAATTACAGAAACATTCGCAGTTATATAAATTGTGATTATTATTTTTCATTCCTAGTTAGTTGTTGATTCTGTCCTGCTGTGAAACATTCTTTTCAATAATATTCATCTAATGATCCTATAAATGGTCAATTTCCCTCTCATATTCCCACAAATCCCCTATACATTTAGTGTTTAAATTATTCATCATAATTGTCACTCATTGATCTTGTCAATAACTTCTTGTTTACTCGATAAATGTATGATTAGTCTGTTATAATGAATACATTAAGACATTGTTTCGGTTGTGGGTAGATGAGAAGGATCATTGATTTGATAAAAATAGCCTTATTCTCTCCTGGATTCAGCAAGAACAAATCATGTGCGGAACAAATTGCAACGCCATGCTATGCATCATCATAGAACAGAGCATAGAATGGCAATCAACTCTCCACCTTACTTTAACATCATCGACTTTGAAGAAGCCTTCGATAGCGTCAACTGAGAGGTAAGTTGGGAACTTCTTCAACAACTATATGAAGAGGCCACATGCCAAGTAATTCACAATGGAAAGCTCAGTGATGCCTTTGAAGTGAAGACAGGAGTAAGACAAGGCTGCCACCTACTATCACCGATGATCTTCCTGATTGTGGTTGACTGGACTGGACTGGATCATGCAACAAACTGTAAGGAGCGAGAAGATAGGCATACGCCGTTTGACTGATGAGAAGACCCCAGAAGATTTGGACTTGGCCGATAATGATTTATGTCTAGTGTCAACAAACTCAAAGATCTACAGGCGAAAACCAACAAGTTGACAGAAGAGGAGAGACAGAGAAGATAGGACTTCAAGTGAATGTTGAGAAGACAGAGGTGATGAAGATACCCAACACCAACAAGCACCAATCACCATGAACGCGAGAAACCTAAAGGAAGTTCTCTCTCCCATCTAACTGCCTAGGCAGCAACTTTTCAACTACAGGCGGCGGCAGAGATGAAAATATCAAAGCCAGGATCGGAAAGATAGCAAGACAGGCATTCATTAAAGTGAAAACTGTGTGAAGACCTACTGGACTGCACTCAGAATAAAGCGTGATCAACATCCAGATTTTTAATATCAACGTCAAGTCAGTGTTTCTATTTGATGGTTGAAAGACTTGGCACGTTACGAGAAGCATTTCCAGCAAACTGCAAATATTCATCAACAGCTACCGCCTACACTCACTCGATACTGAAGGCCAGATGGCCAGAATAATAAGAATAAGCAACAAAGAACTTTGGCTGGCTGGCTAGCTGGCTGGCAACGAACAAATCATGAGCACATCTGCCAACAAATATGCAGAAGAAGGTGGAGGTGGGTTGGGCATACACTGAGAAGACCGACTGGGGACATCAAGCTCCAGTCCAGGTCCTTAAGTGGAATCCAAATTGGAAACGACAAGTTGGGCGTCCGAGGGTGACATGGAGGAGATCGTGTGAGGAAGAGATGAGGGCTTCTAAGCTGTAATGGAGCCAGGTTCCAAAGACTGCAGAGAACAGAGTGCAATGGAGACGTGTCACTGAAGCCCTGTGTTCCACTAGGAACCCGAGGGACAAATAATAATATTATAATAATCCTGCTCAACTTGCTGTTCTCGCATTGTTCAAGTCTATATTGTATATAAACTAACTAGTTTCTATTCCGTTAGAGCTTGGGATACCAAGAAGTCCTTATTGACACTTTCCGTGATTTTGGCACCTAAAAGCAGCCCAAAAACCAATGCCATGCATTGAAGTTACTGCGAATTTCTAAGCTCTACTTGTTGTAGAGACTTGCTACACAATTGAATAACACAACACCATCAAGTTACCCTTTCCGACTACGAATAAACTTTAAAGTAACTTCTAAGCTAAGAAATAAAACATTGTACATACAAAAAAAATCAGTGGTTAGACAAGTTTAATCAGCTGATTATGACATCGATCCGCTGACCTGGTGAACTGAACTATTTACCTTTCAGTAATAAGTAGTTGTCGACTATTACACAACAACTCGAGCAATTAGAAATCACTGAGGCTGGTAATTTATTTTCTCCAGCCAGAATACAGTGATCTGAGCAAGTAGCTGCACTTTTGTTTAATTAAAGAAATGCATGATTTACTTCAACGTTTTCCTATATATGAGTTTTCACAATATCAACAGTATTGACATAGTTTAGTATTTTAATATTTTGTGTTCCACTGTTTAATGCAAGACGAACACCACTTAAATGTTCATTACTTTATAAGATTACATTTTAGCTTAATTAAAATGCATCTGCAAAACAAGGAAATCTATGATGCTCAGTAGTTAGGATGGCGCTAAGTAAGTCTACTTTACCTCGGCTTTTAGGTATGTATTGAAAACTGTACAGAAAACAAAACTTAACCATAGGTGCCTATTTCCCAAATAAACGAAACAGACTAATGGCTACGAGACATTTGTGAAGTCTCAGAGGCGCTGACTTCAGTACTTTTTCTCTTTTTTAATTGCTTAATAATGAGAGACCTAAACTGCCAAGAAACAGCACCAGAAAGCAGTTCAATGTCATCAATTTCACTAAGCTGGCTGTGCATAAGTTTGGTGAGTCTCATTTACCATACTATGTTTAGAAATGATAATAAAAATGACGCTCACGAATTAGTGAGTACACGCTCGTATAAATTCAATAAAAGATTTCATTTGAGTAATCTGTGATAGACTGATTGATGTCTAGGTGGTTTTATCATTGATGAAATCAGTTAATGATCTATTGCACACTAAATATCAATGGAGAGCTTTTTTTCCTAACTTTTAAATCTTCATCAATATATACACATCACAGACAAAACTTAAAGGGGAATATGAAGTAAAATAAGATGTTCCTTCGTTGTCATTCAGACATCCGATTGGAATTCAAGTTCCAGTTTACTTTCACTTGTCACTATTGCAAAGTATCATTCAACTTCTTTTGGACGTTAATTTAGTGTCTAAAAGTTACTGACGTCAACTTCGGTTTTCTCATTTTTCTCTGTGAAGCAGTGATCCGTTTGGTGAATCACTTGGATAGTGAGTAAAAATATCTACCATATGCAATGAGCGATAGTGTAGCATTACACGAATTGATACAATTTCAAAAATGTAAGCCACGGGATTTCAACTCAGTTGCTGAATGGTCACACATTCGCTACAAAGCCTGAAAGTCCTACTTTCTACGGTGTGAATGTGCACCACTGATGGATTTCAAAGTACAATGCGATGACTGTTGAGTTCTTCTTGGATGACAGTAGTTGTTCAGCTGGCATTAATCTTTGATAAACACTGCCTGTTATAGATAACAGTAGCAAAGGTGAATTACAACTATACATTATGCATCCATACCCAAAATTCTACACTGTTCGGCACATATGTGAAAGCAAGAGCGTCCAATACGAGAAAATGTTAAGATTCTTTCCAATACGAAAACACTTTACAGTTATCTTCTAAACTGAAAACTGCGAAAATAAATAGCACGTACAATTAGAACGGATTACTATGAAAAATTATCCACCCTAAAAACTCTTCAGTGAAAACCTTATAAACACGAATCCTATAGTTGATGCTGTCCTTGTCAACATGCCTGACTAACATATGCATACAAATACACATAGAGAGACATTGTATGCATATTTCAGGTTCAGTAAAATAATGCTGGGAATTTGAAGTCATTAGAACGTTAGCTTCTAAAATTGTACAAAATCAGTTGTTGCAATAACTTATGAGACAAGGATACCCACTTTGCACAAGAAGCCTCAGTAACACTTTGCATTTACTAATCGAATATGTATTATATTACATTGAAAATATCCCATGAAGTTTCACAACAGAACATTTAAGAAAATCAATGAAAGTTTACCGTATTTTCTATAACTTCTCTTCAGGTATCAATGTGATAACCAGAATGACGTATAATCATGTCATCTGAATAAGATATTGATATATACAGTTTTAAATATTTACAAGCAATTTTGGGCAAACTCTGTAATTACACATCATTATTCATTCAATAATTCATTCACTTTGCTGACATACCTCTTCTATGTCTAATTTGAAAAACATGACTTCATACAGTTCACCAAGCGTTTTAATTCAGTGCGGAATTTTAAATTGAAAAAGAAATAAATCAGAGGGTTTGCAGTCGAATTAATAAAATATAAAAAGTGAAAAAGTCGTCTTAAATGATATTTAATTTCCTTCTTCGATATATTGTGTTGATATTGCTGCTGGATAGGTTGCATACTACTTGGTTTGCTGACTAATTCATCAATATTCGAAATGACTGGTAATTTTAAAACATCTGTTACATTTTTATTGGTTAGAATGGAACCACTGTAGTTTGTCACATGCATATTTTGAGGATGTACCAACCCATTCGTTGAATCTGGAGATAATTCCCAATTGACAGGCCAAATAAAACCATTGGCAATTAATAAACTGGGTAAATATGAGATAAGAAAACTAGCCGTAATTAAAATAAATGTAATCGCACTTCGCATGTGTCGATTATTTGATGGTCGAGTACGACTAGATTTTCCACAGGACTTTCTAATAGTCCCCTTCTTTTTAATTGTGTCTTCATCTTGTAATGTACTGTTATCGCATCGCGTAATTTCAATATATTGTTCTGTATTTTCTGCGGCTACTTGAGGTTCAGAAATTTCTGACTGACTATGATTTATCGATTGTAAACCTCCATGTCTTGGTGGGTCGCTGTTCCTCAATCGGTGACGGTGTTGATCTAGATTATTTACCTTAAGCTGTTCCATTTGTAAACTTGGAAATCTTTGTCGTTTGTAATCAAGAGTTGTCTGTTTTTCGACTGACTGATCGAAAAACGGATGACGTTAGGTGGACAGTTAACTGATTTTATCTCTTGATCATGATTTATCGGCTTGACTAGTATTCTTCTCGGTCCAAACTTTGACTTCCAACGATATTGATGTACAAGGATGAAGAAAAACAGGTACCCATAAAACAGACATATGCATGTGAATATGAAGGCGAACAAAACCAATATAGATAACTGGTATTTTTCATAACCACTGCTTGAGATAAAACGTTCATCTGATTTACAATAACCATAGTTCGTAAATGATGTAATCAGTTCGATTAATTTTGAAGAAAAATATGCTAGCGACGAAGGTTGTCTCACTGATGTTATTGATGACGATGAAGTTATCTCTGCTAACGTCTTATTTGTTTGATGTCCGCTAGTTGCTAAAAGGTGATTTAATTCATGGAGCATGATAATAGCTTCTATATCACCAGTGACCAATTTGTCTACCGTGCTAATCTTGAAATATGTGTGAACACCTTGATGAAGACCCATTGGTATCGCCCACAATAAGCCTATGATATACGTTCCAATGATCAGCTTCATGATGCATTTTTTTGTCATTAAAGCGCAATGAATAAAGCATATCAACAGCCAGCGGTCTAAAGCAATGATAACTAGAAAAAGCGCAGAAACAGTGAGAGTAAATCCTTTTACAGTAACGTGTAGTCTACAAACAAAGTCATATGTTTTAGTTTCCCAGACGATGAGAAAAATTGTAGTAGGTATATCAATGGCACATATAATGAGATCGTTGATAGCCAGAAGAACAATCAGAAGGTCAGAATTTGAATTAGTGTGTGTGAAACCACGTTTATTCGATGTAAAGTGATTTTTAGGCTTTCTATTTCTTATCGATTCTGCTTCTCTTTCTGTTACTGGTCGCAGCGTAGACATTAAGCCATTGGTACTGTTCGCTATACAGCTTTCATCTCGTTGTAGTGGTCGATTACAAGTGGAATCACCTAAGTGATCCATTGGTGCCACACTGGGGGATCTAGAGCGATATACATTTAATGATGGATCAGGTCGACTTTGATGGTTATCCTCCTGACATTTGAACATGCGTCTTTGTCTCTGCTGACATCCCAGTCTGCCTTGGTGTTTGACGCACACACACAGAACACGCAGACATCTCTCCAGTAATCTGAAAAATCTTTTGAATATGTGTCGACCAATTGTATGTACAACTAGCCAGTTGCCAATTAATCCAAAAACACTGACACACACAAGAAAACAACTAATTATAATCAAAGTTGGGATATAGTTTTTCAAGACAAGCTTTTGTGCATTTTCTTCCTCTTCAGCTATGAGAATATTTAAATCCACCGGTGTCTTCATAACAGCAGTTAATAAGGAAATTATTTTTACTCTACCATGAAAAGCGCTGAAGTTACTATAAAACTTTAAAATCCTTAATCAAGTGAGCTTAGATCGCATTTAATCAAATCATAGCATTTTAGGCAAGAAGTTTACCAATCAGAAGTAAGTAGAAAATAATAGACCAATCAAAGCTCAGTGTACGATAAGCGAAAAGATACTTACTATTCCTGTAGACAAGAGACTATATTATCTCAGAGGTAACAAAACCGTTTTTCCCCTGAAGTTCATTTCCGTTTTCTGAAGTACTGACTTCGTAGGAGTTTAAATTTACTGGAAAACTGCATGAGGTTTATTTCTGTTGCCTCAATGAATTTTGGTAGTATGAGACGTAAAATTTCAGCGGAATAGTATAGGTTATTTACAATTCAAGGTTTATCATTAGCTGGTTTTAACCTAATATAAGTTTGATGATAGCTAGTAAAGATCACTAAAACATTACATGTCCCGAATCTTTTCTACGTAGTGTGTAGTGTTAGTTCCCTGAATTGAAAATAACCTTGTTTTTGTTCGTTGTTCATTTTTCATTTTCAGCTCTTACATATTAGTCTTTCTTAAGTGTAGACCCACCTAATAACAGTTTTTGTCAGCTGGAATACCCAGTTACTCTGATTCCAATTAGATAGAATCACTGTCATGATCACTACTATTATTATTTCCCATCGAGATGAGTGAAATCCATAAACGTTCTGTATATTTCGTACAGAAATTTTGCAAGGTTCTGAGTAGCTGTCAAGAAAAATTGAAGTATTTTCTGCTTCGTACACATATTAATCTAATAAAAATCATTTGTTCTAAGGCTTCATTTCAAACGTTGAGATGACAGTGATAAAGAACCTACTCCAAAAAAATCTATCTACCTATTTAACTATGTCCAGAAAGGAGATAGAACAGACTTTCTTTTTTGGAAATGCAATCTTGTATCACTTTTGCGTTCAGTCTTGAGTAGTGAGGGGTAAAAACATCTTGAAATACTCTGGAATACAAAAATTCTGGTTGCGTTTTTAGATAAGAATAAGTTTTGCAGGCACAGTTCTACAAAGAAACGGTTATTGTATCAAGGTCAAAGTTTGTTTTGACTTTACACTTAAGAGTAATCTGTTTGAATTAAATAAATTAAATAAATATTCTAGGTTCTGTTGCGTCATATCACCCTTTGTTCTACTCAAAACTGTGAAAATTTACAGCTTCACAGGTCCTCAAAAACGTTTTTTGGCTAATAAACTTTGGATCTAAACTCGATTTTACTTACCAGGGTTGAATTTATTAGGTCCTTAACAAACAGACTCCCTTCACAGACTATTTAATAAATGTGTTTGCTGTAATAGAGTATTATCATTATTATTATCATCTCGAAATTTAACTCTTTTGTGTGAACGGTAGGTTTTATAGTTACAAAATCGATAATCTAGAGTTTCCATTTCTACTGATATTTTACTGCTACACTGTCTTTAACTTTCTCTTTCAGAAGAAGTCATACTACCACTCTATACATAGAATAAATATTCACAAATCTCCAGCATTTCTTACATTTCTACCGATTTACGCGACTGCGTATAGAAATTATTGCCTCTTTCCAAAAACTATGACTTGTCAGTTTGATTAAGAGAATATACATTTTGAATCATGGAGCTTTCATCGTCTTCCTAGACGACATCATCAGCACTATCTTCAGCATGGAGTTCCCACTGAAGACTACGATTTCATTGAAATTCTTATCTCATATTGATGATTTTTATTGTCTTGCCGTTAGAAAACTAGTCAATAGACTCACACGACTTCTTCCAGCTATGTTAAAAAATCATTGTATATTTGGTATCCGTCTTAAAAATAAAATCATTCCTAGATATCTACATCTTAGAGGTCCACTTTTAAAAGACAAAGTTAGAGCACTAACAGAGCATGCAAGCAATAATTTTGAAGTTACCTGATGTAATTAATTCAAAAGATTATGATCTCATAACATAGGATGTCGAGAAATTCAATCTTTCTCTGTCATAAAATACTCAACTTGGAAGTTTAAACTAGCTAATCGTAAAAAGGTATCCAAAGCAGAATGATAAGATTATCAATAGCACACCAATTGCGGGTAAAAACAATTGGGTTACTGATCTCTCACTCAACAGAAATGGAGGTACTGAAGAAAGAAGAAAACTTAAATGTAGCCTGAGGTTACCTAAAGGCTATGGACTTATTGTAGAAGTAGCTTTAAGCCCTAAATAACCTTAAAAATGATAGAAATACAGCAATAAAACCATATTACATAAAGGTAGCTCGGTATTAATACCAGACGAAGCGGATTACATTTAAGTAAGTAAACGACCACATTCATACAGGACTGCAAGAAGAAACTAAGACTCTATTTGATATTATTTTGAATAAAGCGGAGGTGACAGCTGACCTAATACTCCAAACAAATCATTTCTAGGTAAGTCTAACTGGTTCAAGTGAATGCTTGCAACCTATGATTTACAATAAGATATATAGTGCTGTTATGATAATCATATTAAAACAATGGTCAACCATAGGAGCACTTCAGACTATAAGCTATCTAAATATTTATCAGTGATATTAGGCCCCATTGGAAATTATTCAGAATCCAAACTTATTTATTCTGATGAATTAAAACAAATATTACGAGAAATTCAATCAAATCTTGAAAAAGGTTATTTTCAACTTAATAATCCTTTGCACTGATAAGTCAAATGATACAGCTCTTAAGATAGCCATGAATGTAAGCTGGTCAACAGCCCATATGCCGAATTAGGCTGCCACTGGAATAAATTATCCTAGGGGGGCATTTACGCCTAACTTATACTGTCTCCAAGTTTTGGAATAAAATTTGAAGACAAACAGAGAAAGTAGACATGGGATCAAAAATATTCTGGATCTTAGTAGATCTACTTAAGGACCATAGGAAATGCATTCCTCTAGGAACATTTAACCTTGTTCTAAAAGTATGATAAAGATAAACGTGGGAGATATATTCACAGTCTTGAAATCACAGCATCAGAACACGTATAAAATCAGCGGTTAATGAAACCCAATTCACAAATGAAGCAGGAAGTGATAAAGGGAAGCTAGCTACGTTGTGTTACAGAATCAGATGAAGACAAAGTTGAGGTTTAGATAGTAATGTCTACAAAACGACTTCACAATCTAACCAGTAGTTATAAGTTAGGTTCTTTCATTCAAAATGAGTCAAAAGAGAGGTAGTCAAGTATCCAAGTAACAGGATACCAAGACTTACTAGTAGGACAGAAAAAGTAACACAAGGAATATGTTGTTGTTTAACCACTACCCCTCCCCTCACATAAACCTAAGAGATGGTAAGAAAAATACTACTAGTGGTAGTACTATAACAGAAATGATGGGATACTGATTCCAGATATCTTGGAAATCTTCCTTCCAATGATATCAAGGAGTGAAAACCAACAGATTAGCAAAAATAACTAGACCAAACAGTTGTGTTCACCTTGATACAGTTGTAAGCTATATATTCTGCTTCAAACTTTACCGGTTTATAATACTGTTACACTATGTGAAAACAAT